CTGTACTGATGTCCGCTCTCTCATTTCCGATATTAGTAGAGTGGTCTCCCCTTTACCCATCGTTCCATCTTCTGCAGTTTCGGTTACCCGCGGTCAACCATGGTCTGAAAATATTAAGTGGGAAATTCCAGAAATAAGTAATTCATAAGTTTTAAATCGTGGTTCAGCAATTGAAAAAAATCATTCTATTTCACCGAGTTTTAAATCATGTGCCATTCTGGGTAATGTGATGAAATCCTGTGCCATCCTGCTCTTTCCCACCCAGGACGTGAATTGTCCCTTTGTCCAGTGTATCCAGCGCCTGTTGGTCAATTGGTTATCAGAGAGTCACTGCATTCACATAACTTTTATCATAGTATATCGTCATAATTGTTCTACTTTATTATCGGTTATTGTTGTTAATCTCTTTTATAAATTGAACTTTATAAGAGTTTAACCTGATTTATAAATTGAACTTTATCACAGGTATGAATGTATAGGGGGAAGCAGTATATATAGAGTATAGTGCTGTTTGTGGTTTCAGGCATCCACTGGGGTTCTTGGAATGTATCCCCTCGGATAAGAGAGACTGTCATTTGGGTCTTTTCTCTTTTTGTTTAGTTAGCTTGGCTATAGGCTTACTAATTTTATTGATCTTTTCAGAGAAATAGACAAAAGTTTTCTTATACAGAAAACAAAAAGCACAAACCATAAAAAAATTAATTGGACTTTATTCAAAATTTAAAACTTTTACTCTTCAAAAGACACTTAAGAAAATAAAAGGCAAGTCATGGACTGGGAGAAAATATTTATAAAACATATATTTGGGACAAAAACATATCCAATATATATAAAGAATAATTCTGACTTTATAAGAAGAAAACAACCTGATTAATAAATGGACAAAAGATTCAAACAGATAAATCACCAAAGGTAGATGGTTGGCAAATAAGCACATAATAAGATGTTCGTCATTAGACATTAGGGAAGTGTAAATTAAAAACCACAATAAGAAAGCCTGACTATACTGTCTTCTATATAGTACCGACATACTATGACTTGTGTAACCTACTAGGGTTGAGCTGACTGGAATGGCTGAAAAGAATCTTAATGATGATAACAAGTGCTGGCAAAGATGGAGAGCAGCTGGAATTCATACTTACTGGTGGAAATGCAAACTTTAGAAGTCTGCTAGTTTCTCGTAAAGTTAAGTATCCACTTGCCACGTGACTCAGCAATCCCACTCCTAGATATTTACCCAAAAGATGTGAAAACACAGAAGGCCCACGCAAAGACATGGATCCAAGTGTTCGTAGGATCTTTATTCATAATGGTCAAAAACTGGAAGCAACTCAGCGGGACAGTACTCTGCAGCAAAAGGGGAGGGACTGTTTGTACACAGCAGCACGGATGAATCGCAGAAGCACTGTGCTGAGTGAAAGGAGCCAGGCACAGAGGACTGTGCTGCAGGATTTCCATCCTGGAGAAGGCAGAACTAGAAATCAGATGGGCGGGTGCCAGGGGCTGTGGGTAGGGGTAGGGGATAGACGGCAGAGAGGCAGGAGAGAGCTTTCCGGGGTGATGGAAATGGCCTACACGCTATTGTAGTGGTGGTTACGCAAGTAGGTACATTTTCATAATTCAGCAATTTTTTAAAAAGAGAGAATAGTACCTTAATAAATGGGGGAAAATGAGGAAAAATAGAATTTTGCTATGTATCTTAATTGGCACAATTTAAGGTGGATGAGTGTAAATTGTAGTAAAAAATACAAGTGGAAATTTAATAACTGGCATTAACAGTTTTGCCTCTTAAGCTTTTTATTTCCCATCCACGTAAATGTCTACTGGTAAGGACATGTTTAGGATTTTCAATAATCCGTATGTCTTTGTCAAAAACATTCCCCAGCATGGTACACATTCCCCAGCATGGTAGGTAGCTTATTGGCCAGGGTGGTCATGTAATATAAGTATATTCAACAGAGGATCCAGATAACGTGCTAAAAATCCTGAGGCCGAAATATATGTCTTCCAAAAGTCCTGTGGTACCATAGCAATAGCAGTGTGTATGGACGGTTTGGTTTCTTTCCGATTCGAAT